CATATTTTTTTTATTTTTGTTCATCTCACATAATTTATTATTTTTTTAAAAAAATATAATAATATATTTTAATAGCATTTTAAGTTTCATAATTTATAATTTTTAAATTTTAATTAAATTATTTAATTATCTTAATTTTAATTTATAATTATTTTTATTAATATAATTATTAATTATTTTCGCAAATGTAAATGTAATGATGATGCATGCATTTGATTATAGTGATAGAGTTATATTATATTATTATTATTAGTAGTAGTAGTAATTTGTAACTTGTGTTTAAATAAGTTTGGAAGTTTTTGTAGAGTTTGTTTGAATGATTTTCATTATTCATTAGAAAAAATAAATTAATTTTTTTTTAAATTTTTTTATATTATACTAAAAATTAATTTTACACTGTAAAATGTCACACATTAATACTTATTTATATAACATATATCATTATTTCAATTCAAATTTTTTATTATTAATTAAATCTCAATTCAAAATAAACCCCCCAAACAAACTTTTGGTTCAAGGATTCGATGGGATTCCATGAGATTTGGATTTTAAAATCCTATGAAATCCATGTTTGGTTAAGAAAAAGAAGAAGAAGGTGGAATTTAAAATGATAGGGATTTGAAAATGGTGTCTAAAATCCTACAAATAAGGGATTTTTTTGTAATGGGGATACCCCTGTTACTTTTAAATCTTATTCTTAAAATTTTAATTTTTACATTTATATCCTCTTTTAAAAAAAATAATAGTATTATATTTATATAAAAAATTAAATAATTTTGACATTAATTATTATTTGAATTAATTAAATTTATATTATTTTTTATTGTACAATATTTTTTAAATAAATTAATAAATTCATTGTTTAAATTATTATTTATTATAAATTTTATTTGAATTATAAAATTATAGGGACGACCATAAGGCGGGTTCAGTCGGAACTGATATTCATCCCAAATATATATTGTTAAATCCGAGATTCAAATTGGATCCGATTATACTCGATCCGACCGAGACTATATCCGGTAAGACTTGATGAATCCGAAATTTTTTTTTTTTTACAATTCTTAAATTTTAATTTAAAATTACATATGTACGGGATCCAATGTATATTAAAATTTATGTATTTTATTAAAAAAATATTATAATAAAATAATGAATACGTTAAACTAAAAAAATATTTTTTATATAATTATATTATTCGAAATTATTTTTTGATATGTATGGTTGATATATTATTATATTACCTTGATCATGATCCGGATTCAGGCCTAATACTCAAATAATTGGACTCAACTTCAAATAAATAGGTCGGGCTCGGTCGGATTTCGAGTTTACGCGAATCTATTGTCATCCTATAAAATTATTGATATATTTTCAATTTATATTAATAATAAATTAGAGGTTTAATTTGTCAAAATGAATAAAATTCATAAGAGGACAATTATGTCATTTAGAATATAAAAAATCAAAATCCACGAAATATAAATCCCACCACATTTTACCAACCAAACATAATATGAGATTCCAAATCCTAAATATAATAAATCATATCACATATAAATCCTACTGTAAAATTCCAATCCCACAAAAAAAAATCCATGAACCAAATAGCGCCTAAAGGTATTCAGGATGATTTTTGTAAAAAAATAAATTTATTTGATATAATTCTATATATATATATTTTTTAAAAAATAATGTTTATTAATAGTATTAAAATTTTCTAAATTATACTCCCTCTGTCCAAAACACACTGCAACATTTTCTTTTTGGTATGTCCCAAACTCCCTACGATATTTCCAAAATATGAAATAATTAATTATACTTAATCTCTACCCCACACTTTAGCCCCTCACGTAATCCAAATAAAAAAAATAAAATATATATTTTTATCTCCATCACATCACCTAATTTTTAAATTATCTTACTTAAAATACTACCCACCTAAAAACTCGTGTCAAAAGCAAATATTGCACCTTGTTTGGAACGGAGGGAGTACATTGTAATAAATTTTTGTCATTTTATATTTGTATAATATCGTTTTGAACACTATAATATTTATCTATTATTGAACCATGTTAGTAATTTATTTCTAGCCGATATCCTGCACTATGTATGAGTTTATTGAAATATAGCATGTGTTCGTTCATTACTTTTCTATATGAGATGTGAAATTTTTATATTGGTAATATAAAAAATAATATTGTGTTTAATTATTAATTTTTTTGAAAAATAAGGGTTTGTTTGTTTAGGTGAAATTGTTCGGTTATATAAGATATAAAAAAATTGTATAAATAATACTCTCTCCGCCATTTATAAGAGTTACACTTACTTTTGGCGCGGTGTTTAAGAAATAATAGTATTTTAATTATAGTGAATAGTTAAAAGTAGTGTAATGACATTTTTGCATTTACTTTTTTGTGTAAAAGTAATGATGTGATGTAAAGTAAGGGTATTTGTGAAAAAAAATAGAGTATTTAATGAAATGTAAACTTTGTAATTGGACTTTCCAAAATAGAAACATATAAACTTTGTAAGCGGACGGAGGGAGTATAAAAATAAAAGTGTACATAATATTAATTTTCTGGGGGAAAATGTGTTTTTTGAGAAATCGTAAATCTCATTAAAAAAACACACCCTAAACTATATATATTACTCCCTCCGTCCCACATACTATGTTCACATTGCCGTTTCTGTCCTTCTCACATTCCATTCCATGTCACTTTCCTTTTTTGGAAAATAATTACATATTTTAATCTAATTTTAAACTTTTTAATTTATTTTTTTAAATTTTAATTAAGCTAATTAGTTATATTAATATTAATTTATAATCATTTATATTATAGGATAATTATTTTCATTAATACATTCTTAATTATCTACTAATTACATCCTTTCTAAAATAGTGTGTCTACAGTGTAGCAGACACGGTATATGAGACGGAAGGAGTACTTATATTAAGTGGATGTCTCTATTTAGTTTTTTTTTGTTTTTTTATACTCCCTCCGTCCACAAAAAAAGTATACAATTACTTTTGGCGCGGTGTTTAAGAAATAATAGTATTTTAATTATAGTGGGTAGTTAAAAGGAGTGTAATGACATTTTTGCCTTTGCTTTTTGGTGTAAAAGTAATGATGTGATGTAAAATAGGGGTATTTGTGAAAAAAAGTAAGGTATTTAATGAAATGTTTACTTTGTAATTGGACGTCCCAAAATAGAAACATGTATACTTTGTAGCTGGACGGAGGGAGTATTATTATTATTATTATTATTTTTTATAATATTGATCAACATTTGAGTCTCGGATAATTTGTTGAGTGGACAAATCCTATAAAAATTATATAATTATATTTATATTGGGTTTGTTCACTCTGTATTTTTGGATAATTCTATTTTTTTTTTCTTTTAAGTTAGTTATGAAAAATTATGTTAATAACATAAAAATACAATATTTTTATATTGAATTGTTAATTTTTTAAAATAAATAATTAAGAAATATATTAGTAAAAATAATTATAAATTAATATTAAAATAATTAAGAAGTGTATTAATAATAATAATATAACTCTATCACTATAATCAAATGCATGCATCATCATTACATTTACATTAGTGTTTCTCACTTTATCCAAGCGGTCCTTTATTATAGAACTCCTTTACAATATTTTTTTACTTTCTTTAAATTAAAAGTCATGTTTACTTTTAAATAATTTATTCCAATATATTACCTTTATCAAAATTTTATACACAACTTGAGTTTATTTGAAATTGTGATGTTGAAAAAAAAAAAAAAAAAAACATTAAATCATATATAAACAATTTTAACCTTGCATAAAATTTCTGTTAAATCAAATAATTCAGCACCAAATTTATAGGTTGCTTTATTTATTTATTTATTTCAAACACATTTCAACACTAATAATTGCTTAATGTATTCAAACTTAAAAAAATTCATTAAATCATACTTCAACAATTTTAACCTTGCATAAAAATTATGTTAGATAAAATAATTTAGCACGAAAAATAGGGTTGATTTTGTTTTTAAACACACAACACTATTCACTATAACAATATAATACTCTCTCTCTGTAACAATATAATACTCTTTCTCTGTCCCACGGCTGACCCATTTTCCCTGTTTTATTCTCACAAGAAATACACTTTCTATTAAATTTACCAATTTTAAAACAGATATAAATCAATTTAATTAAATTTATAACTTCTTATCTCACTCACACAAAAACTTTATTTCTATCTCACTAGTAATTAATATTTTTATTTATCTTTAAAACTCTTTTTTTTTTATGAAACTAATTTATAATATGATAAATAAATAAATAAATACTTTTATTTACTTTTATTATATAAAATTTCATTATTTACAAAATGATATTTATATGGTATATATTTAAAAATAATTAATCTATACTACCTAAATTTTCGTGTTCAAACAAAAAGCTTCATCTTTGTGTGAACATAGGGAGTATTTCATCTAATTAAATATCACATCAAAATACAATTAAATCAAAATTCAAATCAAACACCAAATTTTTAAATCAAAACCAAACACACCCTTATAAGAGGGAGAAATTAAGAATCGATTAAACAAACTCTGCTTCCTTATAAAGGAAACATTATTTCATTTTTACCAAAACATCAAGAGTGTTCTTGTTGTGAAAAAAATAAATAAATAAATAAATTAAAACCAAAAATTAATATATTACAAATATTCATTATTTTATATTACATACACAATTATTTATCTGCATCTAACATAAGAAATATATATATATTCTTTAAAATCATTTTACAAAACAACCACACTACAAACATACTACAAATATAAAGTATAAGCCACCATTCAATCAAAAATAAATGAAAAATCACTAACTAAACACACTTTCAACTAAATCAAACAATAAATTTAAATATTTTATATAAAAAAATAAGTATCGAATATCATTTTTAATTTAAAAATAAATAAATTTAAAAAAAAACAATCATATCCAACCCCAAAATTATACATTCAAAAACACCACATCCAACAACTATTTCACCTTAAAAACACATAAAGCATGAAAATCCAAGTCGATCAATCAATCGAAGCACATCTAATGTGTCATATAAACAATGCAATCTTCCAAGAACAAGAAAGTGAATAACTTTTAAGACAATAAACACATAACGAATCAAAATGCACCTTAACTTCGCTCTCTCGATTATTCTTTAATCTACAGGTACTTCGACTTCCATCTTCAACCCTTGGCTGCCCAGAATCTGCACTCGGACAACAAACAAGAGACATGTAAGAATAACCAACCAGAAAAGAGAAGACGAAACTAGACAATACAAGAAATCGAATGGCCAAATAAATTTATGAAACTAAAGTAGCTATATATAACCAATTCATTGCATTTCAATATGGCAATTTATTCCTAGTTTCCACCCCTAATTCAAGATCTCTTACTGTTGAATGATAAAAGCATAAATTCCTTGATCATCATTGTCTTTTTTTAAAAGGGAAAGAAAAACGAAAACCTTGAAAAAAGAATAAATGTTTATAAGAATAGAAATTGTAATCTATTTCTCGGGCCTTCAAAACATGTGTAGTAATTTTGATCTCAAATTTGAATATTTTTGAATTTCTCGACAAATATTGGGCAATTTTAGATGGTTCCAAAGTTGTGGAATAGAATAATTGACAAAATATTTTGTGAGCAAGTGAAGAGATCAAAGAGTCGACAGAACACACAGATATGAATGGAATACCTTCAAATTCCTATCTTAAAACTCAATAAAGTAAACGGTAGAATAGATTGCAGTTAATATATCTTCTTCATAATCCATCAAAGATTCGACATAAAGTTTTGCTTTGGAAGGATTAAGAATAAAGATTGAACATTACCTTCATGAAGTCAGCCGGAACCAACAGAGAATCTTTTGTATAGCCAGCTTCCTCGAGAACTTCGCTAAGAACTTTCTGTTAGATTACAGTAAATTGAAGAGAGCCATTACGGACCGAAGTTCAAAGTTTAAACTTTTTATGGAATATTACATCATAGTTCCATTTCTGCATCGCCTCCCTACTCTTCTGATGTACTTTTTGTCTAGTTACACAATTGTTTGCTTTTTCAATATTTAAGAAGAATATTAGTTTGCACTTTATGACATACAAAAATCAAATGCAAGTAAAAAAAAAAAAAACAAAAAAACAAAACAAAATAAAATAGTATATTTAGTAAAGAAAATAGGGGTGAGCATTGTTGGTCCAAACCAAAATTTTGATATATATATATTTCCGGTTTGGACTGTTCAAATTAATTGGTCCGGTTCGGTCTAAAACCGAAACTTATATTTTTCAATTTCAATTTAGTTATGGTTTCTAATTTTTAATTTCAGTTAACTAAAATAACCAAACTATAAAAAATAAAAATTAAATATTAATCAATAATACTCCCTGCGTCCCAATTAATTATGCTACAATGCCTAGGCACAAAGACTAAGAAATAATAGTATTTTAACGTAAAAGTAGTCTAGGTTAAAAGTAAAGTGAGGGTACTACAAGAAATCTATTAAAGAGTTAATAATAAAATAGTGAGATAAGTAGAAAACTAGTGATAAATTTATTATTATTTGTTAAAGTAGGGGTAATGAAATGTGGAGGGAATATACATTCTAATTTTGAGTATCTGTATTTTGAATATTAATATATATTAATAAAACATTGTTTGGTTTTAAACCAAATTGAACCGAATTAGGGTTTAGGGTTTGAAAAACTTCGGTTCAATTTTGGTTTCAATTTTTACAAGTCGAAAACTGATCAAAACTAAAAATTCGGTTCGATTCGAACCGACCGCATGCACATCCCTAAAATAAAAGGTAAGAGCGAGAAAGACAAATAACCTCTCTTTGTTGTTCGGATATAAATTGACCGGTCAAATCCCGCAATATGTCCAGCATTTCCGTGAAAGTAACCTTCCCATTGCCATCCGAGTCATAGACCTTAAAAATGACTGCTCTAAGTATAAAGGATTTACCAAATCAGCCAAGAGAAAACCTACGAACAATTTCAACAGGGGGATTAAAAGAATGTAAAATTCCATTTGCAGCATGTCTTACATTCGACTTTTTGCTGCAGGCTCGCGCGAGAACTGAATGCAGATAAAAATGCTACGAACTCCTTGAAATTTAGTCCATCCAGCATCCTCAACAATCTCTAAGAAATACAAAAACAAAACCACATTGTTTTTTGGCTTCATGAAAATCGAAAAGCAGGCAGGCATAGTTACTCAACCAACTAATAATACGCTTCGATGCATTTTTATCATTTCACGACACGTGAACCACAAACAGTGGGATAACATCAGCATAGAATACATTTGGTAAATTGTAATGCACAAAAACATACAAACCAGAATGATTGGAATCAGAAATTATATATACACAGCATCGCCACTGGCTTCAGTTGAGTAACAACAAATAATTTAGCTTCATCCTTTATGCGAAACAATCATATTATCTCACGATAACAACTTTCCTGCAATCCAGACGCTCCGTGGTTTTTATAAGTGTGTTTGTTTGGGGATTTTCTTCTACAAATTATTTTCCTTTAAAAATATCAAATCAAACACCTATTTTTTATTTTTTTTATATTATATTAACATCAATTTTATATTCAAACATATCATCAACTTCTATTTACATCTCATCAAACAATTCTTTCAAATTTTAAAATGTACTATTTCAAAACCCAAACCTCCAAACAAACACATCCATTTATCTTCAGGTCTCCTGATACTTAAGAACAGCTTAGACATTGCATTCCTATTTAACATACATTGCATGAAAACACATTCTGAGTAGTTCATCATTCTTGTTTTGTCCAAAGCCACATCTAAATCCAAACATAGAACATTTTGGCAAACAGAATGAGAGATCAGCTCTAAAACCTAATTCTAAAACTGTGTCATGTAAAATATTTGATTTTTTAACAACTTTTTTTAATTCAAAACCATAAAACTTTTTTGAAGTTGGATCACAATTTATAAAACAAGTGACAAACAAACCATCAATGGTAGCAAATTCAAAACCCTGATCAAATTCAAAACACAAATTTTTCACTAGTTTTTGTCAGCCACATAAAAAAAATCGAAAAAAAAAATATATCAATAAGAGGAATTAATTCAATTTTAGGGTTTAATGCTCCAATTCTAATACAAAAACCAAAATCACGAAATTCCATTAATCTAATTGCAAAACCTGAGAGAGAGGATTGACTGCAAATTCCGGTACGGACATGAACTCATCGGCGGCGATGAAGCCTCCTCCATTCCTATCCAACTGGCAGAACCGCTGGTACAGCGACACGATCTCCTGCTGCGAAACTACAACAAATCCATCACAATCGACGGGAATTCAGCAACTAAATTTTTCAATAAAAACCCCAAATTACTTATTAATTTCCCCCTGGAATTCACCGAATTAGGTGGCGACAATAAGCGAAATGCGGTGCAGAGAAGAAAATTACAGGTGTGATTGCTGTGCTCCTGAACGTCTTCTATGTCGTATTGAGTGAGCACGGAGGAGGTGTTGCCCATGGCGGAGGGATCTGGACTGGACCGTACGCCGGAGGAGTAAGGGAAACGAACGACACACTCGAGGCAAACTCTTCGAAGATTTCGAGGTTCAGCTTCTTTCCTTAAATGCGTTTCATTAAATATTTATGGTGTTTTTGTTTGTGTTAATAATAGATGGATTATTTTTATATGCGTATTAAAAAATAACACTAATGCTGTGTGTATTTTTTTATTTTTTTATTTTTCTTTTCTTTCAAATCAATATATTTTTTAAAAAATTAATAGTATATTATATTTATTTATTTTTTTATATTATCGGTATAATTTTTATAATTTCTATATTTTTTAAAAATAATTACACACTTTAATCTCATTTTAAATTTTTAAATTTTTTTTTAAATTTTAATTAAACTAATTAGTTATTTTAATCTTAATTTATAATTATTTATATTATAGGATAATTATTTTTACTAATACATTCTTAATTATCTACTAATTAAATTCATCCTAAAATACGGTGTCTACAGTGTAGCAGACACAAGGTATGTGAGATGGAAGTAATATTAAATTACTTACTTACTTTCTCTATCCCACTTTTATGGTTGGCTTTTTCATTTATGTGTGTCCTATTTATTTTGTCACTAATTATACATTTTAATTTTATTTTAAATTTTTTAATTTATAATTTTTTTAAATTTTAATTAGATTAATTAATTATCTCAATTTTAAGTTATTTTTATTATAAAATAATTAATTTTAATAATATATTTTTAATTATTTACTAATTATATTACTTTTAAATTCTTGTAAAAAGACACTATATCCGTAGCTAGGACGAAGAGAGCTATAATGACTCATTTGAGTTGGAGACACAATATTTAAATAGATTTAATTAGTTAATAACAATGAATTATACAGTTAAAACTTTATTACAGTAATTTTATACGAGTAGTTTGTTGGTAGTTTTAAAATAAGAATTAATATATTCCATATATATTTATTTATAATTAAGATAATTTAATTTTATAAAAATAAATATAGATAAAAATATTTATTTATTGATAAGAGAGATATAAATTAAAAAAAATAATAAAATTTAAGTGTGTCCAAATATTGTATAATGTTAGGGTGTGTTTGTTTGGGGATTGGATTTTAAATCTACTGTTCATCTCATTTTTTCTCCCAAAAAATCAAATTAAACACCTATTTTTTATTTTTTATATTATACTAAAAATCAATTTTACATACAAAATATCACATCAACACCTATTTATATCACATCATACAACTATTCAAATTCAAAATTTTTACTATTCAAATCCCAACTTAAAATTCAAATCCCCAAACAAACACTTTACTGTATTATAAAGTTAATTACTTCGACGTATGTTAAGAATGTATCGATTTAATAATTTATTAAAAATAAAAATACGTCAATTAAAGTGGAATAAATAAAAAAGAAAAAAATAGTTGATAAAAATGGGACGGAAAAAAATATATTAGGGTGTTTTTCTTTAGGGGTTTGGGGAAATTCGAGTTTGGATTTAATTTTTATTTGAATTTTGAGGTGAGTTTGAATTTATATGTTTCTTTTGTGTTTAGGTTTGTGTTAGATTTAGAGAGTTTTGACGTGTAGATTGGATAATAATGAATATAATAATATAAATATGTACTAATTTGATTATCAATTTATATTATACCTACATATATTTCTAAATTTTTATAAAAATTTTTATTATTTACCATCATTTCTCTCTATTTCTTCATTTATCTCCATATGGGAGACAAATAAAAACGGAGAAATTGAAATAATTTATTTATTAAGTTTCATTTATTTGACTCAAACAAATAAGAGAAATGATACAATTTCAATTTATCTGGCCTCATTTCTCTGTACCAAACACAACCTAAGTGACTACAGTAATTTACACTAATTTGATCTATATTAATTTTACTCCAACCATAACTTTTAATTTTCATTCTAAAAATATATTTCCTATATATTCATCTTTAATATTATTTTATATAACTTTTTTATATTTATAAATTACATCCAAACTTTAATTTATTTTTACATTGGATCCATATACATATAATTTATATTTTATTTAAGAAATTATATATATAAAAATTAACATTTATAATTAATACTATTACAAATAAAATAATAAAATACATATCACTTTTAAAAAATAAAATTAAACATTATTTTTTTAAAAAATAAAAATGATATCACTTTCCAAAAAGTAAAATTATATATTAATTAAAAAAATAAAATTATATATTATTTTTCAATAAAATAAAATTACATATAATTTAAAAAAAATCAAAATTACACAACACACCAAAAAAATACAAAAAAAACACCACAAAAATTCACTCCAAAAATGGAGTAGAGGTACAATGTTACTCCATTATGGAGTAACACTGTACATATCTGCAAAAATAGGGGTCGGACACACATGGTTCGCCTAATGTGTTATGGTTTGTAGGGTATTAAGTTCGACCGAAATTTATCCAGTGCGCACTTTCGGATAGCGACTGCGGATCTCCACATCATAAAAAAAAAAAAAAAAAAAAAAAGAGGATCGGGCTTCGATTTTTATACAACTCACTGCATAAATTGATCTAAGTAACATAACTAATATTCAAACAATATATGAGTAAATTATTCGGCTAAAATGGGTTTAAACAAAAATAAACATAAATCCGCTCTTTAAAAAATATATATATATATATATATATTTCGCATAAAATATTATTTAAATTAAAATTAAATAAAATTTCAAATTCAAACCAATACACAACTTTAAATTTCAACTTCCAACCAAACACTTGCCTTAAATTTTAAGGCCCACTGTGAAATACCTATCCTGCCCTTCCTTCCTTCGTTTTGACCGAGGAATGGGAATTGGAAAATGAATCGAGAGACATCTCGCAAGTCTGTGTCTATCCAATTGCACTAATTCACAGTGCAATTTCAGTTGCTATTTCAGCTCTCTCTCAATCGGAAAATTCTTTGTCCGGCGGTAGGTATGTCGCAGCCATCGCGTCCCAAGACTCCCGATGATCAGACGGTATGCGTTTTTGCAGCTCCCGATTCTCCATATTTTTGTTGTTCTTTATCGGTAGGCCAAATTTGTTGCGGAAGCTACGTTCATTTGGAATCTTGCCGTCTATCTCTGGAATTCGAGACTCTTATCTGCTTGATTTGATGTAATCTTGCTTCAAACCCTGTTTCGTTTGTTAATTAGGCGGTTACCGTGTAGTTTTGGAGTAATGTTCTTAAAATTGTGCAAATGTTCAATCGCAATTGAAATTCGGAATCTGTAGGTGCAATCTGTGTAATTAGGAGTGAAAATTAAGCGCAGCGGTGAATGTGAAACTATTTGAATCCTTGTCGTCGAATTAGGTATTTGATTCATGGCGGATTCATACCTGTTTCGTACATTTTCAATTTGACAGTGTTCTACCTTGCTGAAGAAAACCTGTTTGTTTGAATCTGTATTTTTTTTTCCTGTTTGGATAAATATAGATATTTATGGTTAAATTTAAAGTGGCTGAATAGAAAATATGTTCTATGTTTTACAGAAATTTATCCTATAGTGATGTGGGGTGAATTGATTTGTTAGAATTTTGTGTCGATTCTGAAAGGGTTCATAGCTGCTTGAACTTGTCAGGTGTAATATCATATAATCAAAATTTAATTCTCTTTACAAAAATGTCTTTTTCTCTATACTATTTCTGCTGTTTCCATTTGATCGAGGATCGATTATGTTCATATATGTTGGAGAAAAGTTCTTAAAACTGTGTCTCAAAATATTTGTTTTGTATACTTTTTCTTTGATCAGTTTGCTGCAGCAGCAGTGCAAATCGGCTAATCTTTTTTCATCTTTTTATTGATTTATTACACAGTTGATGTATATTCGTGTAAAGCGAAACAAGTCAACTTACTTTCTGCAATGTTTACCAAGCGAGACGATTCAACAAATTAAGGAGAAGTTGCAACAACTCATTGATCAGCCAGCCGCTGATCAACGCCTGATATTAATGCCAAATCAAGAAGTATTAGATAATTTGAAGTCACTTGCAGAGCAAAAGGTCCATTGTCGTCTTCTTCTTTTTCATTTATTTTTATTTTATAATTGTAATCTGCAAACCAATTTAAAAGCCATGCTGCATATCATCTTTTGTTCAAACTATAAAGTTTGGCGAACTAGTATGGTTTTCGGCATTTGTTTTACCCTTTGAATTGCAATTGCATTGGCATATTTTTTGTATCAGTTTCAATTCTTATCCTTAATTGTCATGCTGTGATTTTTTTCAGGTTGAAAATGATGCTGTTGTAGCTCTCACCCTGAGAAAAGGTTCCGTAGCTGTTTCATATATAAAATATGTTTTGAGTATTATATAATTTGTCGTTTATGTCCTATATCTATCTTTTGCCGCAAACACTTTAATTTGATTTAGCTACAAATTTTGTCAGTTTCTGTCCTATATCTATCTTTTGCCGCAAACACTTTAATTTGATTTAGCTACAAATTTTGTCGGTTTCCTTCTCTTGTCACGTGTGAAAATGGACAAAACTTGAAATAAATGTACTATCTAAACAAAGGAAGTGTAGTGCCGGAAAAATGGCTCTCTCATCATGTTCATCTAGAAACAAATCCTCTTAAGATATTTTGACTAGTTTGCTTTTCTGAAAGCTTATAACGACGTCAAAGTGATTAGAATGCTTTTAGGAGCTGTATTGTATGCACTGTCGTTTCTCTGTTCTATTTCATTTGCTTGGCGTGGAATCATATACTGATGACGTAGTTAAGGTCCATTTACTAGTTTTAGGTGATTTTGTTGTTAGGTACGAATAATTGTGAAGGTATTATAAGAAATGATGTTTTGTAAGTATGTATATATATTATATTTTTTGGGTAATATTTTTGAGGTATCGTGTAGCTGTTTTTGGGCTGCAAGAACACACTCTTAATTTGGAATGAAATTAATAATAGAAACAAAACTTTTGTGTTTGTTTAGAGGTTTGTATTTTGAGTTGGAATTTGATGTGTTGTTTTGAATGTAAAAATGATTTTTAGTATAATATAAAAAATAAAAAATAGGTATTTGATCTGATGTTTTTCGAGAAAAGAATTTGGTGAATAGTAGAAGTTACGGAAAAGTATGGCAAACAAACACACCCCAAGATAACTCTCTTTTCTTTTTCTCAGTCCTGTAGCATCTTTTATCATTTTAGGTTTCATATATTGAAGTTCCTCCGATTATCCCGGTAAAACTTCACCTGTATATACACCTTGTAAAAGAACTGTCGGGTTTAGCACTTATATATATGTTTTAATCTGTTTTTTCAAGTCGTATGGCAACGTGGAGTTGATTGATCGATATCCATTTACTGTTTTGGCGCAGATGATGATGAATTCGAAGACGTAAACATCGAAAGGCCAAATGATTTTCACCAGCCTCGCGAGGCTGATGGAGGCTTCTAAGTGTCGTGAGAACACACCTGCACCCCGTGTTGTGTGTGGACTGGAATTAATGTCGACAGCGGAGGAGCTCGACTGATTCTTTTACATTGTATGCTGCTTTTAACCTCTTTTTACTCTACAGCATGTCTGTCTGTCTGTTTGTCTGTTGTTACACTTGGTTCTTCGATGGCATTGTGAATGAGATCGATGTTTTTTTCTTTCTTTTCTCATGTCAATGTATTTGAATTTTATTCATCTACCGTCTCTCCGGCAATCTAATTTATGTCATAGTTCATCTTTCTAATTGTCTATTAAGTTTAGGACCGCAAATGGATGACTTGATGGCGTGAGGGTCACTCGTGATCTATGGGTTCAAACCGGTCGCTTATGAACCTCGTCTGTCTGTCACCTATAATTTGTTTATTAGATTTGACCGGGGTTGGGGTCTAGTAAATTTATACATATTTCATTTAGGGTGTGTTCGTTTGTAGGATTTTATCAAAATCCTACTATTCATCCAAAATTTTACCCTAAAAAACATCAGATCAAACACCTATTTTTTATTTTTTATATTATACTAAAAATTAATTTTACATTCAAAACATCCCAAACCCCCAGACAAACACACCCTTAGAATAAACAATAGTATTCATTTATAATTTTATTATTATTGTTATTATTTTATGAATAAATTATACTATCTCCATCCTGTTGCTAGGTCTCAAAAAAATGCAAAAATACTTCATTAGTCATTAGCATCTTAGAGAAGGGCATTTGTAAAATTTTATTTTACACAAATATAAAAATATTTTTAATGTTAATACAATAAATGTGACCTAAGAGGGGGTATAATATTTAAAAACTAATATATTTGATTCTAAATAAAAACATAAATTAAGCAAAATTTTATATAAATAAAAAATATCTTAAATAATTTTTTTTGAATAAAATAATTAATTAATATTTTATTTTATAGCGTTTTTTTTTAGATAAATTGATATATGGTTTTTACAAAAGAAAAAAATTATAAAAATAAATAATTGATCAATTATTTATTTATTTTATTAAAAAAATAAAAATATTTTATGTATAAAACTAACTAGCATGGGTCTTTACATTAACACGATTTTAAGTAGTAAATAATACAGTGTTATATAATTTATCTTTATTTTTATTTTTATTTTTATTTTTTTTTGTATAATATTTTTTGTTTTATTTTTTTTATTATAAAAAAAATAATTATTACTCACTTTTATTAAAATTCGTGTCCGGTCAAATGAACACATATTTGCACTACGGAGGGAGTATAAGGGAGTATTATTCATTAGCAATAATTTTTAAAATTATTATTAATGAATTTGTGACCGTGAGGTTATAGGTTCTGACCCCGACGCCTATAGGTCCCCTTGCCACACATGTTTCGCCTAGTGTGACTTATCTTGTCGGGAATAGTTTGCAGAGTATTAAGTTCGGTCGAAATTTACTCAGTGCACACTCTCGGATAGCGGCGGAGATTCTACGTCATAAAATAATAATAATAATTTTTAAAATTAAAAAAATTTCAAAATATTTATTAAAAGAAAATCTAAAATACATCTCTTTAATTATTTTCATAATAAAAAGCATTTGAGTTTCAATATGAGGTGTAGTTAATACAAATGTTACAATGAAATAAATATTTATTCTTTGGTACATTTGGTCGGGAAGTTTGAATTTTAGATTTAAATTTTAAATAGTAAAATATTTTAATTTAATAATTACATGATATGATATGATATAAATAAATTATGTAAAATTCTTAATGTAAAATCTTATTTCATTTATTTGATAAATATATATAATATTGTATTATTAAAATATATACTAAAAAAATACTAATTTTCTATTATAGTAAAAACAACATAAACTATTATAAAAATACTCTTGAATTTATCTAAATTACAAATAAATTAAATATATACTCCATTATTTATGTAGTAAAAGCAATTACAAACTACTATAATATTACGTATTTTTACTAATCAATAATATACTAATATTATTTATTAACCTATTATGAAAATCCAAATACTTACATTGGCAAAAGGGAGTATTAATACTATATTGTTGTAAAAAATAGTAATATTTGTCTAATAATAATAAAATAACAATAATTTTTTATGCTATAATTATTTATAAAAAAAATTATTATTTTATAATGTACAAAAATAATACTTCAGTAAAACATAAAAATGAGACTATTATTTTTTAATATTATTTTAGAATGTACACAAATAATAAAATAAGACTTTGATCAGAGGAATTATCTTATTATTTTTGGAAGAATGTGTTTGACAATTAGCCGTTAGCTGATTCGATTAGTGGTTAGTTGTTAGCTAATTTGATTAACTTGTTTGACCAGCTGATTCGATTAACGGTTTGTATTAAAACGTTTGGTAAAATGACAGTTTAATATTAACTGTTTATATATAAAATGACAATTAAAAATATTTATACTTTATTTTTTTTAAATATTTAATTTTTGTTTATTCTGATTTAAAAATTATGATAATTTTTGTTATTTAAATAATATCATTTCATTTCAAATTAATAATAAACAAATCCATTGTTTTTTTTTCTTAAATTGATATATATATATATATATATTGCTTATATACTTTTAAATATGGAAGCATGAATTATCGAAATAATAATCACATAACTAGAGTAATTAAATTAAAATAAGTGGTGTGGTGCGGTATAATAATTAAGGCTGAGAAAACATTTTTACAATATTTTGTGTCAGCGTCTTTCTTCCTCAACCGGCTTCGTCTCCGACGCGAAAATTTTGTAAGTTCAATCTCTATGGGGATTTGCATCAATCTTATTTACGCTTTTCTTTATGTTTGTAATTGCATTTCGATCTCAATTGGGAAGATATCGCCGAGGTTTTGCCATTTCAGCGAATTATGGGTGTAAATTGGTTAATGTTGGCCGACTTACACCGATTCACACACGATATAGCTATTGAATTGATTATGTTGCTGACATCGTATTGTGATTTGCTGTTCTGATACAGATCTGTACCGGCCGAGTTGATGAACAATGGGTATGATGAACGGGAACAGTAATTAGCTGAAGAGTTTAAGGGCTGCGGCATCAGCCTGATAATGATTTTAATTTAATCATCTAATTGTTAACGATTTTGTGCCTAATGTAAGATCATTACGTGCTCATCACATTAATTGATTTGAACAAACTGCCTGGCACTTAAACACTCAGTTTTTTACCCCTTTTGATTTGATTGGTTTAGTTTTTCTATTGCAGCATGAGTTCTCCTACTGATGATATTGATTTGAAGCCGGAGAAAATGGAGGAGGAGAAGGAGGGAGGAGCTTTCCACTGTGATCTTTATGATATGGATATTGTTCACAAAATAGCTCAGGAATTTCTTCCTGGTTTGGGCTCTGCGTGTATTGACAACACGACAGGCGGACTCTTCAGCAGCCCGGCTTCTGTGGCGGTCGAAATAAGACGAGAAATGGTGGATTATCTTGTTCAACGAAGTGAAACTTTCGTGGCTGAATCAGTGGTCTTGGAAGCTGGACCGAATGAGGATATTACTAAGGATCCGTATGATATTATCTCCGATTTTATTGATGATTTCGCAAGTTCGAAGAGGAACTTTTTTAGCAGGGTTTCAGGTTGGCTACTCAGCGAAAGAAGAGAAGACAAAATAGACGATTTTGTGCAGGAGATGGAGATAAATGGGTTTTGGCTGTTGAATAGGAGAGAGTCGATTGCACAAACTCTCTTGAAAAATGTTGATTTCAAAAACCTTTATCACTGCATCATGAGCTTCAAGACTGAGGAAGAGCTAGAGGAGCATAAATCCAAATGCAGTTTTAGGACCATGATGTGTGCGAGCGAGGGTTGCAATTCTATATTTAGTGCAGCTCAACAGGACCATCACGATTCGATTTGTCCTTTTAAAATCCTTAAGTGTGAGCAAAATTGCTCGGAGAGCATTATGAGGCGAGAGATGGACAGACATTGTATCACTATTTGTCCAATGAAGCTTGTGAAGTGTCCATTCTATTCAGTAGGTTGCCATTCCTCCATTCCTCAAAGTACAGTCGGTCAGCATCGATTGGAGGATCTTAGCTGTCACTTGCTCTATGTACAGCAAGTTGTTCACAAAGAAGCATCAGAAGATGATCTGAAGGAAAGAGTGGAAGAGCTAATCAAGGTACACATATTTGGAATGTTATATTTATTATTGTTTGAATATTAAGTCAAAAAAGGTCTTCTAAGATGCATCTTGTCCTTAATATTATCCACCGTAGTCCTAAATTAATGTCTTCCGGTCACTTATATGCTTTGTTATAATACACTAACCTGTTCTCATCACTTAGTGAACATTCACAGGATGAGTTTGGCCATGGTGTGGAAATTAATACCCTGAGCCATCATATTTATTCAGATTAAAGATGAAATGTGCATAATGATATAATTAAAAAAAATTAAACTAGTAATGTCACGCAAACATTATTATCCCATCCCATTTGTTTATCATCCCATACACTTTTCTTTGTTTCCCCAGCTTATTTTTTATGAATCCTTACAGTTTGCACTATCATTTTCCTTTTCTTGTTCAGTAGCTTCGATGTCCAATTTGTTTGTGAAACATCAGAATTTCAGTATTATTATTTTTTTGAAATTGTGGTTGCAGTTATCTTCTCCAGGACAACTTGCAGCAGCTCGTGATGCTCGATCCCTAACCTATGCCATCAAGGATCTCGAAGCAAAGCTTGGGCCCTTGAAAGTCAAGACAACTGAAAAGCGTGATGATGAGACGGATGGCGACTCACCACACAAAGTGGAAAAGGATGGGGAGTCTCCAAGCAAAGAGGCCAAGCCTGGAGAGTCTCCAAGCAAAGACGGTAAGTCCGGAGAGTCCCTAAGCAAAGATGCTAAATCTGGAGAGTCCCCAAGTGCAGCTAGACAGAGTGTTAGCTCAAAAAGCAGTAGTGATGGCGGTGAGGATCCGTCTCAAGAAATGGAGAAGTTAGTGGAGTTATCTAATGTAGATGATCAATCCGAGTTAGTGCCACCTGTGAGCGAAAATTCTACAGCTTCACTGTCTGCACAAGAAGCTAAGCAGGAGAAGTTGTCTCAAGACAACTCCAGCGAATCTGATAAAGATGAAAATGTTACTTCATCACCAGTCAAAGTGGAAGAGAATGACACTTCAGCTGCTGCATTGGATTCACAACCACATAATAGTGAAAACTCAGTATCTACTAATGAGACTAGAGAGGTAGAGGAAGAAAAGCCGAAGTCGGATTCCGAGTCTGACAAAGAATTGGAAGAAGGACCTGGGAAGGGAGAAGAACAACCGAGTTCATCATCACCAATCAAAGTGCAAGAGGAAGACCAAGTTGATCAAGGGGAAAGTCATGTTGCCTCAGCAGCAGATGATGAAAATAAAGATGCAGCAGCAGCTAAATCATCTTCAAGTGAGGAATCTGACTGATTTTTAGGCGGCGCGTAGATCTTTAATTAGTTTATAGAGCCTATATCTTGCCCTGGAAGTTATCCCGGGGCGACAAATTTTGTTGCCGACAATTGGTTGTGGGAACCCAGTTAATGGAAGTCCCATGGAAAATATCTTGGTTAGTGCTAGGAAACCATTTTTTTTTTTTATGCTTCAAAATATTTTTTCATTAGAGACTTTCAAAAATTTAGTGTAAGATTTCTAATGATATATATTGCTGAACTTATCTCCTGTTACTGAATATTTTATTGTAGTTTTGGGGGTTTTTATTTTTTATTTTTATAATTAATATCACTTTTACAGCATAAATTGTGTTTCTTCTGAATGTGATTCCATATATGACATGACTTTTTGTAATATTCCATTATTAGCTTGCATTCCTGGCTCCTATATGACAAAGCTTGGCCAATATATGGTACAGAAGTTCTGTAAGTAATTCGATTGCTGTTGAGGATTGTTCATTTAAGCACCTATTAATATCTCGGGTATGTGTTGAACTATTAAATACAGAACTCCATAGGTTGCCAGTTGTTTTTTCACAAAAATTTAGTTGTTCAAGAATTTTTTATTGGCATCATTAGTCAATCTTTAGAGGCTCTCTACCACCAGCATGCTAATGTAGTAATGTCTGTCTAATTAATCTCATAGATATCCCATGTGTGATTATATAACCAAAGGGGTCAATGCTTTGAAATCCGAAGTTGTGCCAAAACAAGAAAATTTGATATTAATTGGTATAATTGAGCTGTGATATTCCCTAGATATTTCCTACTTCACTTTATGGACCTTCAGATTCTAGATACTATATGTTTCATCCATTTATTTTCAAGCTCAAAACAGGGGATATCAAGAGTTGGGAGTTGGAGGTCTTCACCTGACTTTGCCTGTCTCATTAGTTCCTGGTTGATTGAGTGTCCTCCACGCCTCAACTCCAGTGGAGCTCACTTATTGATGGAGGTATCTAAATTATTTACGGCCAGATTTTTTGGATTCTTGTATTTCCTCTTCTGGATGATTACTATTATTTGGTGGTGGAGCCTAGAGGGAAATAATATTATGAGCATTTAAATTATGTTGTGTGTTGAATGAATGTGTGCAACTTTTTCGAAGATAATTTGTTAGCTGATAAGATCCTACTGTTTGCATTTTTGCATCCTTTCATGCTATTCTGGTTACAGTTGATGGCATCAGCCAATTGGAATGAAATGGCATATTAACACTTAATCTTTTTAATTTTCTAATTTGATTATATGTTACTAGTTATGATAAATAAGCTTTACTTGTTGCAAATTCTAACTTGGTTTGAGCTGTTCCAAGTATCATGTTGAACAAGTTGTTGAGTTTAGAGTATTAAATGTATAACTTCTTCTTATTCTTTTGATTCCGTTGGTGATAAGAGGATTCTTCCTATTTCTCTAGTATTATATTGTACATATCATAGATCAAATGGAACAGGCCTTGCTCCAATTTTTTTTATGTCGGACATGAGGGCAGGATACCACTTTGATCAAGTAATGGTTCATGGTAATGCTTATTGGTTTATTCTTGCTCACATCTTTTATAATCTTGCCAAGAGTGGGATTCTTTTTCTCTGCTTGTTAAGGTAACTTTCTTATGGAACTTTTGGCTTCCCTTTGTTCTTTTTTTTTTACTGAACTTACAAAAATTTGAACATTTTGTATGCCTGAATGAAGAAATTAGCACATGAGGCCTCTAGGGAGAGATGTCAACATGAGTGATCTGCTCTTCCAGCTGAATAATTGTTCAATGTATTAGATCAAAATGGTTTTCTTGCTTATACAGAACAGCTGATGCATGGTTTCCTGGTAATAATTTTGTGATTGCTGTGACATCTCACATATGTTCAGTGTTCTCACCCAGGACAAGGCACAAAGGAGAAGCTAATGAGGAGTTGGAGTAAAATCGTATTGTAAATGAACTAATATAAATCGTGAAGGAAGATTATCTGGTTAGTGTTCCCCTATTCAATCTTTATTGTGTTTAATTTCCTGGCATCTGAAGTTCAAACAGCTTTGTTTGTTTCCTCAGATGAAGTAATGGATTCTGGACTGATAGAGTATATCTCTTCCATGCATTGTGTTTCATATCATTAGTTATAAAGTTTTAGCATTAATCCAGTTAAAATCATATATCAGAAGTTCTACGATCAGTGTATTCATGAGTTATTGAATTCAGAATTATTAGTTGAGTAGTGATCTCGGAGCAACTTCAGCAACCCGCCCCTTAATTTTTGAAATTTAAATCTTTATAAAGTTACAGCACGCACTTCCGTTGCTAAGATGATATTTCATTACCAAACATATGCGTGTAACCTTCGATATTTATTTCCCTTCTGTAATGCTTAATGTTTGGAACCTGCAATTTTCACAGTACTCGGAACTTGCTGATGGGATATATATAGTAATTTTGTTGCGATGCTCAGCTATAACAATATTTCTGGTGCAGTGTTCTTGTCACTGTAACAGCTCTTCCTTTCGCTGCAACAAGTGGAAAATTGTCATGATCGTCAGTTCTATGATGTTATATCTTAGTTTGTCACTAGGCCTCTTTTATTAATTTGCCAATGGCACCAATGATTCTGTTTTATTAGCTGACTAAGTTGTGGTTGATTGATGGACAGATGCATTTCTTTTTCAAGAAAATGTGTGGAGTATGAGAGGCGTGTCGGGGATGAAGATCGGATTGTGGCCAGGAAGAAAAGGCCATGGGTTGTGGAGACCACTGCCTTTGCTTGAAAGATGGAAGAAAAACACTGAAAGGTATTTATTTGTTCATGTTTGTCTATTTTTAACAGTGAATAGAACCATGTGAGGGAAATGTTGATCTATAATCTTACCCAATATTTTTATCTACACATGAAAAAATAGGGAAAAAAATAGAACCTATGGTAAACACTATTTTAACAAAATTTCTTCATCTGTTATATATATGGAAGTTTTGTGGAATATTTCAATGGATTCACTTGTGAACAAGTTCTGAATTAAGAAGTAGAAATTCTGTGAATTGAATTTCCTTAGCACCACAGCTCTAGACAAGCATGATTGTTTATTTGTGTTTTGGGATGTTTTTGGCATTTATGGTTATTTTAGTTTTGATTTTATTTGTATTATGTTAGATATGTGTAAGTGTGTCAGTAATATAAATAATTATATTTTGTATTGAATTATTAGTTTTTTTTGTAAGTGTATAGAAGAGAAAATTGTAGAAAATATTCCTCACGCATATCATTATTATTTTTGTCTTGTATTTATCTCTTTAGCAGCATATATCTCCACGCGCGGCTATGCATTAATGTATATATATGTATATTGTATCATCTTTATTTTTGTCTTGTATTTATCTCTTTAGCAGCATATATCTCCACGCGCGGCTATGCATTAATGTATATATATGTATATTGTATCATCTTTTTTATATATAATATTCATTGAGAGTCGTAACACAAAAAAATTGTTGGATGAACAATACATAATCCTCGATGTGATATTTTTTATATTGCACACTAAATAAAATACATAATCCTATTTGGTCACACTAAATGCAATTGTACAAAACTACATTATTTCTCTCAAGGTGCAAATTTGATGGCAAACTACCTATAACTTTGTACCTAACTCATCTATATATATATATATATGTGCAGATATACACCTAATGCTTTCAATCCATGGAGAACAACTCATCTATATTCAATTAGGGCAACATTCCACATGAAGTATTAAAAAGGTATGTTTTCATTCTTATTTACACTATACATATTTCATACAAATTGTCTTTGATTTAGTTTCAATAAATTGAAAGTTTTTGCGACTATAAAATCAATAATCTCTAAAAAATTTCATTTGTTTAAAACAGGTGAGCTATATGGAGAATAAGAGGAAAGTCTCATTTGCCCTACTCATTTTTTTACTAATTACTCGGATACGAGTAACTGTTCAATTACTTGAGAAGACAACCGTAACAATATCAAACAACCTTCGAGATAGAAGTGACATTTTGATTCATTGTTTTTCTTCGGAAGATGATGTCGGAATTAGAACACTATCATTTGGCGAAGACTTGACATGGTCATTCCGTGTCAATTTTTGGCGATCGACAAAGTTCTACTGTGACTTCCGAACTAGATTTGGCTATGGAGACTACGCCGTGTTTGATAAAAAGTTAGAGGAGAAGTGCCATTTATTGTGTTTTTGGACTATTAAGGAAGACGGGCCTTGTTTACAACGAAATATCGAAGATGGAGGACCATGGTGCCAACTATGGAAGAATAATCCCGATCGACCTAAAGAAGTAACATACCAAAATGTGCAAAAAGAATCATCAAAAGATGATAGAATCAAATTGTAGAATAGAAGTGAAAGAAGTAATTTTCACTTACAATTTCAAGAACAAGTCATTATTTCTTTGGTTGATGTATTTTAATTTTACATGCATAACAGAGACTCGTTCCATCCCATAGAAATGTAAACATTTATTTTTGGCGCGGTGTTTTAAGAAATAATAGTATTTTAATTATAATAGATAGTTAAAAGTAGTGTACTAACATTTTTGATGTAAATGTAATAATATGATGCAAAGTAAGGATATTTTTTGGAAAAAAATTGAGGCACTTAATAATATATTTATTTTGTAATTGAACGTCCCAAAATAGAAATATTTACTTTCTAACTGGACGGATGGAGTATTATTTACCTTAAGACTTTTTGTGTTTTTATTTTGTATTGAAAGAGGTATTTTGTGTTTTTATTTTGTATTGAAAGAGGTAGATTTGATGTGCCTCGAGTAGGGTACTCACGGGTGAAATCAACACCCTGCTGATTTGACCAAATTGAAAAATTTAGTACTCCATCCGTCTCGGTATTCATTTCTATTTATATAATTTTCAGCACCTGTTGAATAGCTATAAAAAAAATGATATTATATTATTTGATTATATTAATTAAGTGTAATTATCTTTTCAGCAAGGTGCTGAATTAAAAATGATCAGCACCTGATCCGTGTTGATTACAGATACCCTTCCAATTTACAATATAATACACAAATGTCATTACATTTATATAGAATACTAATAGGGTTCGTTTAGTCATTTTATTTGTATTTATACTATATCCCAATATAGTGTTAATATTTCTAAAATTTCGTGCAAAAAACAAATTGATAGAGATATGAAACGGAGATAGTGTTTTATTACAATGCTGATAAACCATTAGTATTTCATCACAAGATATTTATATATTCTATGATATATAAACATATGTATTGTGTGAGTGATATATTGTGTTAAAATAAGTCTATATTGTGTTATATGAAATTATATAATGTTGTGTATTAATATATGTTATGTGAATTATATAATGTATTGTGCTGTATAATCTCTACTTTCTCTATAAACATGTACTTCCAAAGCAATTTAATGTTTTAGAAGAAAAGTAATGTATTTTTATAATAAATAAAAAAATTAAAAAAAAATCTCAAAGTAAATAAAGCTATAATCATATATAATTCACCATTTAATGATATGATACGTAAAATATTACTCATTTCGTCCCAATTCAATAGTTTTTTTTTTTTTTTTTTTTTTATCAATTTTGTCCATCTTATTAAAAATATTTATTTTTTACTATAGTAAAAGCAAAATATACAATACCAAAATATCTCAAATTTTTACAAAAAATATTCGTTTTTTTACTTGCAAGATAACAATATCAAAATCATCTTATATATTTTTTACTAATTCATACAATTTCGTTATTTTTTAATCTATTATAAAAGGTAAAATATAAATATAGTCGGGACGAAGGAATAATATTTATATACAAAATTTTGATACTCCCTTCATCCCATTGAAATGTTACCATTTTCAATTTTCGTCCGTCTCAAAACAATGTTATCATTTCCTAATTTAGTAATTGTACTACCTACCTAACATAATAAATACCCTTCAAACTTACACTATATTACACAAATATCATTACTTTTATATTGCACAACACTAAAAGAGATATTTTTGTCTTTTTCACTACAACCCATTATAATACTAATATTAAAAATATACGTGCAAAAAGTAAACAGCAACCTTGCACCGAGACGACGGAGGGAGTATAATAATTTTTTATACACATTTTTGTTTGTGATGATGAGCTAAAAGACAAAGGGAAAGAAAAAAACATGATTCCAAACCATCATTATTTTGCATCCACAAAATGCAAAAAACTCCACATGACAATGTCATAATGTCTTTGGTATCAACCATCAAAAGATACAAAGAGGTATTGCAAAATGGTTTTTTCTTGCTCCAAACAATGTATCCAAATTAAATTAAATTAAATTAAATGGAAGAACATGTCACATCTATAAACATGCACTGATTTTGTTGTGCCACATGATGAATCCCTTTCATTAGATTTGAAAAATATTACTCCCTCGTTCTCGAAACTATAGTCTTAATTGGATTGAGCACGAGATTTAAGGAGTATTAATATTATATTGGTAGTTGGTAAAAAATATAAATAAAAATATTTTTTGCCCTTGTGAACGTATTAGTGTAAAAAGTAGTGACAATTGCGTAATAAGAATGAAAAAGTATGAGTAGTTAATATGTTTATTTATGAAAATAAAACTATAGTTTTGAAACAGACAAAAATGATAAATATGACTATTGTATTGAGACAAATAAAGTACTTTTTCGTCTCATTTTACTTATTCATTTATTTTTTGTTACGAAAGTTTATGTAAAAGTAATTAATAAATTATTAAAAATATATTAATATAGATAATTATTATATAATAAAAAATAACTAATTAATTTAAATAAGATTAAAAAATTATAAAAAAACCTTAAAATGGAGGGAATAATTACATTCTTGAAGTTCAATTATATATTAACTCTGTATTTTTGAGATTTACTTTTTTTTTTTCTTTTTAAAAAAAAACTACTACACAATTTTGATTACTTTTACAATTAAATATTTTTATCTTATAAAATATTATATTTACATCCTAACTAAATACATTATAGTACCCAAACACATCCGTTTGTATACATTCATTTTTATGTAATTAGGATAGGGATGTCAAATGGGGCGGGTTAGCCCCGGATCCGCTTTTAATGGGGTGGATTCGAGTCTAAATAATATGTTTTAAGGCGGATTGTGGATTTAAAATTTTAAATCCGGTCGGATTCGGGGCGGATTACGGGTTTTACTAAAAACCCGTTTCAACCTGGACCCGGACCCGAATCCGGATATTTTTTAAAATTATTATAACTAATATATATGTACATTTATATAATAAAAATATATTATTTATTTACTTAAATAATTTCAAATATATAAAATTCAATTAGTCGTCTGCTCTAAATAATTTTTAAAATTATTATACCTATATATGTATATTTATATAATAAAAATATATTTATTTATTTTTATGGATCAATATTTGATTGTTTTTAAATTATTTTTTTTGTGCTTTTAATTCTATTTGTTTTAGTATTGAATTGTTAAAAAAATATTTATTATTATATATTTTTAAAAAAACAGGTTTGCAGGGTTCGGGGTCGGGCGGGTCCTGAGGCCGGGTGGAAGCGGGGCGGGGCGGGGCGGGGCGGGTCTCGGAGCCTAATATTTTCTAGCGGAACGGGTCTCGGGGCCTGCAGAATCCGTTCCGAACCCGCCCCGTTGACATCCCTAATTTAGGAAAAATACAATTGAAAATATCATTTTTATCATTTTTGTATATCTCATTTAAAAGTATTATTTTTTATTATAATACTCTTTCCATCTCCCATATTATGTCTTGATGACTGTAAATATGAAATTTAGGAATATAATTAGTAAATAATAAAAAATATATTAATAAAATTAATAATAATTTAATATAAATAATTATATATTAAGATTAAAATAGCTAATTAATTTAATTAAATTTAAAAAATAAAAAATAAAAATGTGTAATCATTTTTTAAAAGAGCCGAAGTGACATAAAATATGAAACATATATAAATTACAAATATACAGTTATATATAGCATAAATTAAAATATTAAAATTATTTATACATTTTTATTAACTAATAAAATACTACTATTATCTATTTTCCTCAGTAAATCAATTCATAAAAAAAAATTATTTTTTATTTTTATTTTATTGCTCACATATAAAGATAAATCGTATTAACAATAATTAAAAAAATCTTTGATCTCATATTATTTTTAATAATAAAAAAATAAGTAGTATTATTTATTAAACTATTATAAAAATTCAAAAAGTACCTTTATGGGTTGTTTAGTTCACGGATTTTTTCTCCGGGATTGAAATTTAAAATATAATTTATATACGATAAGATTTATTGTATTTAAAATTTGGAATTTAAAGTTCTATTTTATATTTGCTGGTAAAACTATTCTGGATTTATATTTCAAAATTTAATTTGTTTTGCGGAATAAATAAAAGATTTATATTTTTTATATTTTAAATCACATAATTGTCATCTCACGAATTTTATTTGGTGTGATAAACTGAACCCTTAAAAACAATTTTTTTTTTCTAAACTTTATTTATATTTTTATTAAATGAGGTGTGTTCTAATAAAAAAATTTAATATAATTTTTTATTAATATTAGAAAATATAATACAATATATAAAAATTCATACAAAATATATAATATATAATCTCTAAATTAAAAAAATACAACAATTCAATGTAAAATGTTATTTTTTTATATTACCTACACC